GCACACATGCCGGGCGTGGTGGCTCATGCCTGTAGTCCCAGCACTTTGGGAGGCTGAGGCGGGTGGATCACCTAATGTCGGGAGTTTGAGACCAACCTGACCAACATGGGAAACTCTGTCTCTACTAAAAATACAAAAAAATTAGCTGGGTGTGGTGGTGCATGCCTGTAATCACAACTACTCGGGAGGCTGAGGCAGAATTGCTTGAACCCAGGAGGCAGAGGTTGCGGTGAGCCAAGATCACACCATTGCACTCCAGCCTGGGCAACAAGAGTGACGCTCCATCTCAAAAAGAAAAAAAAATGCACACACAATCGATAGATGGACCAAGTAGCAATATCTGGAGATTGCTGAAGTGGAGTGATGGGGCATACGTGGTTCATTACATAATTCTCTTTACTTTTGTTATATATTTGAAAATTTTCATAATACATATTAAAAATAAAACCTACCAGTCTGGGCGTGGTGGCAATTCCAGCGCTTCGGGAGGCCGAGGCAGGTGGATTATATGAGGTCAGGAGTTCGAGACCAGCATAGCCAACACGGTGATACTCCATCTCTACTAAAAATACAAAAATGTAGCTGGGCTTGGTGTCACATACCTGTAGTCCCAGCTACTTGGGAGACTGAGGTAGGAGACTCGCTTGAACCTGGGAGGCGGTGGTTGCAGTGAGCCAAGATTGCGCCACGGCACTGCAACCTGGGTGACAGAGTGAGACTCCACCTCCAAAAAAAAAAAAACAAAAAAAAAAAACCAAACCTACCTACAAAGTGATAACAAAATAGCAAGAAGCAGAACAGTATGCTATCCTTTGTGGAAAGAAGTGAACATATGTCTATGCTTGTATAGACACAGAATATCCTGGAAAGATACCCAAAAGCCTGGTAGAAGTGACTGCTTCTGAAGAGGCTGGGGCACAGGAATGGGAGGGGTTATTCAAGTAAGTTTTTGAAGAGGGGATGGAGACATTACAAAGGAGAGAAGTTAGTTTCACAAACCTGTCCTCTTGTGAATTTACTTTTTTTCCTGACCAATATCCTAGTCATCTACTGGTTTTAAACTGGGCATTTGTGGGCCTTGTTTATTTATTTATTTGAGATGGAGTCTTGCCCTCTGGCCCAGGCTGGAGTGCAGTGGCAGTATCGTGGCTCACTGCATCCTCTGCCTCCCAGGTTCAAGCGAAGTCTCCTGCCTCAGCCTCCCAAGTAGCTGGGATTACAGGCACGTGCCACCACGCCTGGCTAATTTTTGTATTTTTAGTAGAGACGGTTTCGCCATGTTGGCCAGGCTGGTCTCGAACTCCTGACCTCGGGCGATCCACTCACCTTGCCTCCCAAAGTGCTGGGATTACAGGCGTGAGCCACCGCACCTGGCCTGTGGGCCACATTTAGCTGATAGAGTTAAATTTATCTAAAAGACAGTAGAGAAAATTATTTGATTAACATATATCCAGTGGCTGCTGCTATGGGTGCTGGGTCCTATGGTACAAAAAGATGAGTCAGACATTGTCAGCATCAAAATGATAGAGTATAATAGCAGTTTACTATTGCTTTATTTTTTATTTTAGACATAAAAAGAAACTTCATATGATCAATTCTTTTATTTTTACCATCTTTCCAATCCATTCAAAAGTCTATTTATCTGTACCTATTGGTATGGAAAATGAAGAAAGAGATTCACCAGTCAGTAGTATGACTGAAGCCCAATGAATTTAGAACTTTTGTATGCAGGGAAACTCTGTCCTTAGGTATTACAGCAACAAAGATCATTAAGTAAGAGTTAGAGGGGAGCCAGGCAAGATGGCTCATGCCTGCAATCCTAGCACTTTGGGAGGCTGAGGTGGGAGGATTGCTTGAGCTAAGGAATTTGAGAATAGCCTGGGAACATAGTGAGACCATGTCTCCACAAAAAAACATTAAAAAAAAAAAAATTAGCTGGGTGTGGTGGTGTGTGCCTATAGCCCCAGCTATTTGGGAGGCCGAGGTGGGAGGACTGCTTGAACCCAGTCGGTCAAGCCTGTAGTGAGCTGAGATCCTGCCACTGCAGTCCAGCCTAGATGATAGAGTAAGATACTGTCTCAAAAAACCCAACCAATCAACCAATCAACCAACCAATCAACTAACCAGCAAACAAAATAAAAGAGTTAGAAGGGAATGAAGTGGAATTAGAGAGCTCAGTGATAAGAAAATACCACTTTATTCCACTGACTATTATGAAGAGCTCTGTTTTCCATAGTCCTTGTGGTTCTAAGCTATAGATCAATGGTTTAAAAAGATTTTAAAAACTTTTTTTTTTTTTTTTTTTTTTTTTTTTTTTTGAGACGGAGTTTCGCTCTTGTTACCCAGGCTGAAGTGCAATGGCGCGATCTCGGCTCACCGCAACCTCCGCCTCCTGGGTTCAGGCAATTCTCCCGCCTCAGCCTCCTGAGTAGCTGGGATTACAGGCACGTGCCACCATGCCCAGCTAACTTTTTGTATTTTTAGTAGAGACGGGGTTTCACCATGTTGACCAGGATGGTCTCGATCTCTCGACCTCGTGATCCACCCGCCTCGGCCTCCCAAAGTGCTGGGATTACAGGCTTGAGCCACCGCGCCCGGCCTAAGATTTTAAAAACTTTAATTTCATAGGGAGCCAAATGATGTTTTTGCAAATAATCCTTCTAATGTTAGAGAACATAAAATGTTTTCTAGGCTGGGTGTGGTGGCTCACGCCTGTAATCCCAGCACTTTGGGAAGCCCAGGCAGGCAGATCACTTGAGATCACAAGTTCGAGACCATCCTGGCCAACATGATGAAACCCCATCTCTACTAAAAACAAAAATTAGCTGGGTGTGGTGGCACGTGCCTGTAATCTCAGCTACTCCAGAGGCTGAGGCATGAGAATTGCTTGAAAGCGAGGGGCAGAGCTTGTAGTTAGTGGGGATTGTGCCACTGTACTCCAGCTGGGGCAGCAGAGTGAGACTCTGTCTCAAAAAATAAATAAATGTTTTCTAATTATTTCTGATTTTTAATTTGACTTTTTCAATTTTTTGGTGAAGCTATGGATTATATTGAATATATTTTAGTTTTGGGTAGAAAAAAATCAAGCTAATGGAGTTGGTGCTTGAGGTTTTGTTTTTTTCCTTGTTTTCATCTTATTTTAGACTGCACTGGGGAAATATTTAAATAATGTTAAGAACTGATGCACTTCAAATCACTTGAATGGATATTTTCTTCTGTTTCTTTCTCTCCTCAGCTGCCCTCCAACTTTTTTTTTTTTTTTTTTAGATGGGGTTCTACCATGTTGGTCAGGAGGCTGGTCTTGAACTCCTGACCTCGTGATCCACCCACTTTGGCCTTCCAAAGTGCTGGGATTACAGGCGTGAGCCACCGTGCCCAGCCCATTTTACCTTTTATATGGCTATGTAGCATGCCAACTCTACAGTCTTTGTAAAGGTGATTCTAACCTAATCTGAAAATTCTGATTTTGTAAAAACAAATATAGAACCATGTGAAATGTCAAAAGTCTGCAAATCTCAATGGAATCACTTTTTGCTTTTTGAGACGGTGTCTCGCTCTGTCGCTCAGGCTGGAATGCAGTAGCGAGATTTCAGCTTACTGCAACAGTTGCCTCCCAGGTTCAAGCAATTCTTCTGCCTCAGACTCCTTAGTAGCTGGGACTACATGTACATGCCATCACACCCTGCTAATTTTTGTTATTTTTAGTAGAAATGGGGTTTTCACCATCTTGGCCAGGCTGGTCTTGAACTCCTGACTTCAGGTGATCTACCTGCCTTGGCCTCTCAAAGTGCAGTGAATATAGGTATGAGCTACGGCTCCTGCCTTGGAATCACCTTTTGAGGCAAAATTGCAGAAAATCAAAACTTACTGAATTAATGGAGCTCTAGGAGATGTATCTGGCAGGAAATAAAAATATACTCAAAATGGTGAGACTAATAATATATGAGTCATTTCATCAAAGCTCCTGATACAAAATTAACCTTAGAACTTCCAGGCTATTCTGGACTGCTCTGGGCAGCAAAAGGCAGGACAACAAGGACCATATCTGTTACTCTGTACCTAAGACTGCTCTTACCAAAAAATGTCTTCTTTTCATGTTTTCTAAACTCCTGGAGCTTGTAACTCTGAAGGAAGTGATAAGATGAAAGAAGACTTTTAAAGACCTTTTATCAACAGAATCAATTTGAATATCTGGTGTGGCCTCTCTAATCTTAAAAGGGAAGCAGAGACTCTTTTATTAAGTAGATGTCTTCCACAGCTGAGCGGGAGAGTGTCTTGTTCATAATACGTCCTGGTATGAACTCAGTAAATATTTGTTAAATTGATTTAAAGAAATAGGCAAGAATCGTGCTGAACATATTTATTTTGTCTCTGATGTAAACTCATAGTCCCCACTTACCTCCCTGAAGTTACACTAAACATATCTAAGTAATTTCTGCTTAAATTTACTATATTTCATTTAATCACTTTTAATTAAATAATGAAAAACAATCACTGACTTAGACATGATCTAATCATCTTACTTTGTTTAGAACAAATCCATTCCACTTGAGGTAGAACTAGAATAATATTTCCTAGATGATAATAAATATATTATTTTAAAATTAAAATTGGTCAAAACCCTAAATAAAATGCTTTTGATTTTTGTAAAAAGAGTTCTGTGGCATCTATAAATAAATAAAAAATCTCCAGAGCCCCAAAGTCCAAGCTTAGCTAACATATTTTAGTGAGAGGTGGGAGGTGTAACTGTCTGTGATGACAGATTTTTAAAACGATTTTTTAGTTTAGAAGTTTTTCTACTGTATCTTGATATTATGGAACAATTTCATGAAAACCTATCTATATATAACTTTTTTTTTTTTTTAAGACGAGGCTTCACCATGTTGGTCAGGCTGGTCTTGAACTCCCGACCTCAGCGTATCTGCCCGCCTTGGCCTCCAAAGTGCTTGGATTACAGGCGTGAGCCACCATGCCCAGCTATATAACTTAAAAAAAATCCCGTGTTCGCTTCGGCAGCACATACACTAAAATTGGAACGATACAGAGATTAGGATGGCCCCTGTGCAAGGATGATACGCAAATTTTGTGAAGCGTTCCATATTTTTAAAAAATCCCAAATAACCAGAAACTTAAATGATACATATTTAATAAGGCAAATGTGATAATATGCAATAAAATATTTTAAAAAGATTTTTAACCATAGTATAACCCCAAACACATCTTAAATGCTTTGCAAGCAAGCAGCCAAAAGATAAAACATCCTGCGTCCCGTACTAGTCCTCTATATTAACCATTTGATTTGAATTAAGGATCAACTCAACTTAGCAAAATAATTATTGGTATCATATTCTTCTAGACAGTATTAAGGGAAGGTGTTCTCTTTCCAGAGTCCACAAGGGGGCGTAGTTTTAAGGGCAAGAATTTCCCAGCACCATGCCCCGCTCCCATCTCTCTCCATCCAGGAGATTTAATGGTTTATGTTTAAATTTCGTGGGCTCGGTAAGAAACAGAAAGTCAGTCACTCCAGTGGAAGCCCTAAGGAACTTCTTTCATTGGTCAGGGGTCTTAGAGAAGGTGGGGGTTCCTCCCAGGTTAAAAGTCCCCTTTTTCCACATCCCTTGGGACTCCATGTCTGGGTCCCCTTCCAGGAACACTCCCTTATTGGATCTTTCTCTCTCCTGGATTTCCCCTCTGGGGTCCCCTTCTACACTCTCTCGTAGAAGCCTGTCTTCCCCTCTGAAACTCCATCTGTTTCTCTATTCCCTTGCACTCAGTGTGGAAGCTGCTTTTCTCTCCCGGATTCCATCTTTCTGGATTCTCTCACTCAGTGTGAGAGTTAGCTGTTTCTTTCTCTTTCCTCCTGTTTCTCTCTCTCTTTAAATAAAATCACTTTCTACAAACACTTTTGAGTCTGGCATTTACTGCACTCTGGGTCATGGTCCCCTCTCTCAGTCTTAAGAGGGCAAGAGAACAAGAACCTGAAGAAACATCCTCTCAGGGGAGCTAAGGGCACCCTGAACCCCTGAACCCCAATATTACAGTATGTTACTTCAGAGACAAAGTACCTTTTGTAGTATGTTTCATATGATGTAGGAGAAGAAAAATGAAGCATGTTCTGTGTTGGGCACGATGATAACCATTTCCTGAATCTATAGAAGCAATTTCCTCTTTTTCCTTTTTTTCTTAAAAATAAATAAATAAATAAAAGAGATGGGGTCTTGCTATGTTGACCAGGCTGGTCTCAAACTAGTGGCCTCAAGAGATCCTTCTATCTTGGCCTCTCAAACTGCTAGGATTGCAAGCATGAGCCACTGTGCCCAGCCTAATCACCCCTTTTAAATAAGACATTTAAATCCATGTCTGTCATGCTATCCTGATTAGTTAGGAATAAAATGAGTTCCCATGCTTCAAGTTAACTAAAAAGCTAAAATATATTAATTTTTGCAAAATGTCAAACATTTGCTTTTCAAATGAATTAGAAGTAACGTATGAACTATATGCTGTACTACAACTCAGAAAATGTTTCCTATTTTAATTTTTGGTTAATATGCTCTCCTGGAACTTAGAGAAGAGGTGAAGAGGCCGGGAGCGGTGGCTCACGCCTGTAACCCCAGCACTTTGGGAGGCCGAGGCGGGTGGATCAAGAGGTCAAGAGATCGAGACCATCCTGGTCAACATGGTGAAACCCTGTCTCTACTAAAAATACAAAAAATTAGCCGAGCTTGGTGGCACGTGCCTGTAATCCTAGCTACTCAGGAGGCTGAGGCAGGAGAATTGCCTGAACCCAGGAGGTGGAGGTTGTGGTGAGCGGAGATCGCGCCATTGCACTCCAGCCTGGGTAACAAGAGCGAAACTCTGAGTCAAAAAAAAAAAAAAAAAAAAAAAAAAAAAGAAAAGAGGTGAAGAGATTTCTACAAACTTAAAGATACCAAATTACAATAGAAGCCTAAGTATCTTCTTTTCATGTCTGGTTCTGAATGATGGACAATTTTTAGAAAATGTGGTTCCTACCTCCCTTGCTCTTGGGAAGGATACAAACATTTTTGAAAGGATAGGAAATCATGAACTGTTGGTATATTGTATCAAGGGAGCCCTTTAAAATATTTTTATATGGCACAAAATACGCTTTTATAAACTGAAACAAAATATTTGGTGGAATTTCTTCTATTTTTTCAACTTTGACACAGTTGAATTTGCACAGCTATGAAAGCTGAGCTAAGTGACCCCCAATACCTACATTTGCTAGGAAGTCAGGAGGTTAAAGTTCAGTGGGATGGGAGGAGGGGGGGCAATCTCTCAGCATCCAGCTCTTTAGCACCAAGCAATGTTTAATTTGATAATTACGAATCTAACTTGTGGAATTTTTTTGTTACAGATATATTTATGATAGTGATTTGGAAGCTATTGCTTTGACTTACCTCCCCAAATGTTCCACTCTGTATTCATACAAAATGTATTATTTTGTTACTTAAGATCTGCTTGGCAGAAGTAAGAGGCTGTAAAGGCTTGAGAAATTGCTTAGATGGAAAGTTTTATCTCCCATCATGCTTTCCTCTGCTGGGTAGAGACAAAGCCCCAAAACATAATCTTGTTTAAAAATAGTTTTTTTTTTTTTTTTTTTTTTTTTTTGCTGGTCTACAAATAACGATGATCATGGTGAACAGTAAAGACAGACTACTAGTAGCTGACTCTAAATTTAGAAATAACTCTTTTTAGGTTTAGGTAGGCATCTCAATTTCAGAAAAGTTAGTAAAAGTTACAAGCAAAATCACTTTTATTCTACTGCAGAAATTTTTGAAAAATATGCTAGATATAATAATAGAATGGTTAGTTGATTTCTCTAAAAAAAATACAGTAAACGGCTTTGAAGTCATGAGTGGTTAGAAAAATGTGGAGCTGTAAAATTAAGAAGTAGTCAAAGCCAATTGGTTTGAAGCTAGAACTAAAGCTGAGTCCTAAGGTTGATGTTCTTTCTCACTGGGGGAAAGTATTTAATTGACCTTGGAAAGCCACAAGATAGTGTTAATTAGATTATGAATGCATAAGTATTCAGACACCTGCACCTCACCCTTCTGAATGCTTTAGGATTTAGCTGCAACTTTGAAAAGTAACTGAACCAAACCAAGGCTGTAACTCTACAGGATCTCAACATCCCAGAATTATGCTGACACTCTAATAGGAGAGAGAACTTTTCAAACATTTCAGGAACTAGTAAAATAAACAGTGAACAACTAAGGCTATTTTCATAAAACAGATTTTTTACTGAGTGCCTATTAAATACTATATGCCAGGCTCTTTCAGACACAGAGATACAGATAAAGTTCTTGCTCTCATGGAATGTAGCTTCTAAGACTGAATGGCATCTCACTGATGGGTAGTGGAAAAGTGTGGGGATACTTCCAGGAGGATGCATTAAGCAATGGAAAATCTTGAAATCCAGGTGTCAGAAAGATTGTGAGATGCTTGCTAGGAAGCTATTGGACCCTATGAACTGAGGACTAAGTAGAAGGGGAAAACAACTTTAGCTGCAACCACTTTTTTCCCCCTCTCCTTCTTGATGAGCCTTTTACGTAAACCTGGCATTCGGACCATAAAAATATGGTTATTCTTTGTTAGTAAACCAAGGAACAATTTAGGTGGCATTAATTTAGTGAGCTTATTACCAGGCTGTTACAGAAATCAATAAACATGTACTTTTTAACCATCCCCTGAGGTGGCTTACTGCCACCATTAGTTATTCTGTGAGACTGCTGAATTTAAAAAGATGTGGTGAACAGAAACACTTCCCCTGTACAGTTAGAAATTGTGCCCTGCAACTTTTAGGACTTTCCAAAGTTGCCAAGTAATCGGTACTCTCACTATGCATTTATATGTATTTATACTTTATTACATTTATAAATTATTTTTTGCAGTAAGTTACAAAGTTGTACCCTAAGCTTGCAAAGGTCTTTACTGTTATGATACAGTCTGGTTTATCAGCCTGGACAAGGACAGGCTATTGTTCTTACAGAATGTCCAGCCTTATCCAATGCCCCAATGGAATTATTAAAAAATAATTTTGATTATTTACAAAATCAATTCACTCTCTGGTTTATGGTGACAGCAGTTTCATTCTCTGAGACACTAAAAAGTGGCCAGCAGTTTGGAGTTAACCAAAGAGATTTGCTACCTATTTCTTGGAGAGAGGCCTATCCTGGTCATTCTGTACTGGAATGGAAACATGTGGTCTTTCCTTTTTTTTTTTCTTTCTGAGACTGGGTCCCGCTCTGTCATCCAGGCTGGAGTGCAGTGGTGCGATCCCGCTGACTGCAGCCTTCGAGCTTCTGGACTCAAGTGATCCTCCCAACATTCTTCCCAGTAGCTGGGACTACAGGCATGCGCCACCACACCCGACTAATCTTTAAAATTTTTTTGTAGAGATGGGGTCTCCCTATATTGCCCAGGCCAATCTTAAACTCCCTGGGCTCGAGATCTTCCAGCTTTGGCCTCCCAAAATGTTAGGAGTAAAGGGGTCATGGCTAATTCTTTTCTTATTACTTTTTAAAAAAGAGGATCACCTGAGGTCAGGGATTTAAGACCAGTCTGGCCAACAAGGTGAAACCCTACTTTTTTTTTTTTTTTTAATTACAAGAGTAATGTGTCCCTTACACATAAATAAGTAAAATTACTCACAATTCCACCAGTCACTGAGACTTAGTGGTGTTTACTCATCCAGTCTTTTCTGCCTTTCTCCATAAATCACAGTTGCAAAAAATCGGACCATATGGTATAGCGTCTTGTCTCCTCACCTCCTTAAATAACCTTCACATTGTTCCATTGTACTTAACAGTATTTACTCATAATAACTGTAAACCTAAGAGGTAACTGACTTTATTCAGGGAATGGCAAGCAGGAGTAAATTATTTTCTTCTTGTTAACAGAGCACGCCCCTACCGCCACTCATCCCTATAGTCGTTCTCCAAATTCCTAAGTGACCCCTGAGCAGCAAGGTTTCAGGGTCCCTGTGCTTAAAGGAGCAGGCTCGCCGGGGGTCACAGCCCTCCGCATCGAAGCAAGACCTCGCCGCCCGCCACGGCCCTCCGGTCAGCCACACCTCGCTTCCCCC